CCCAGCCCATCCCAGCCCTTTTTGTTTATTTATCTTTTATTTTGAGACAGTGTCTCATTAAGTTGCTTAGGGCCTGGATAAATTTCTGAGGCTGGCTTTGAACTTGTGATCCTCCTGCCTCAGCCTCCTGAGTCACTGGGGTTATAGGTGTGTGCCACTGCACCTGGCAGATGACTGGACTTCTGCAGATCTTCAAGAGCGGTGTTGGTGGGTTGCACAAAACAGGAAAGGTGAACTCACAGCCAGAAAACCTGTCACCTCCAAGGGAACCAACTTGCCACCATGAAACTGGGTGGCTTCCTCCCGGCTTGCTGGCCTCTTGGGGGCTCAGCTGTGTTCCCTGGGGCCATGAGGCTGAGTCCTCTTAGAGGCAGAGAGGGAAACAGCCGTAGAGACAGGACGCGCTTGCTGCTGCGCTCCACGTATCAGTTCCCACCTCGTTGCTACTCTGCCCTGGTGTGCCCTGTGGGAGAGGATGGTTGACCTCACCTGCGGAGTCTTTCTGTCTACACAGCAGTCCGGCCTTTCTTCTATGGAGAGTAGCCTCTGGTGGCATTCATGTCCCACAAGAAGCTTTGCTTGCCCTGGGACCCCCACACACGCCTTCTTGCATCTGGCCTGGACCTCCCTATACATGTCTTTCAATCTTTCTCTTAGAGGCTCCCGACCAGGTACCACACCACTTGCCCCTTCCCAGGAGGCCTTCAAACCCTAGCTTGGCCAGTCACTCTTCTTACACGATGGGGACAATCTGGTGAAAACTATGAACTTGTGCTTACGGAAAAGGTCTCCAGAGCCATCCTGGTGGACCAAGGTTTGATCCGTCGCTCGGCCCATCCCACGCCCTGAGACGACACATTTTATTCCAAACATGGATTATAATTTTTACAAGTTCTCATTACCTAGATTTTAAAGGCACTTATTAGACTACGATAAATTTCGCTCATTGGAAATCGTATCATTTATATTTTGAACCTATATATTCTAGCTTTTAAATTCAGCAGAGACTTTCCATTCTGTTCAAGTGAGATGTGATTCCGTGAACTTACGGAAGAGAAAACTGACTCTTTCAGATCTGTCTAGACAGATTCCAAGACGGGATTGGACGTGCAGGAGATCGATCGGAGTGGGCACAAGTGACAGCGGAGAGCTTCAGACTGTGGCCCAAGTGACACCTGTGGAAGGAGAGGGCACGCAAGAGGGCCGGACGTGATGGGCTCACACCACCAGAGGCCAGTGAGGCTCAGTGGAGGACCCTTGCAGCTTTATGGGAAGAGCTTGAGGTATTCGGTGGCCACTTGGAGACATCCTGTGGGGAATGTCACTGCTGAGGGATTGTGGTGGTGGATTCGGCAGCCGCTAGGGTCACGGGCCATCGTGGTCCCTGTAGCACGAGATCAAGTGGCACTTCTCCTGGCCACCACACCCACCTCCTAGGGTGAAACCTCTTGTCTTTGTGGGCACATGGAGGGCACCAGGAGGGGCGGCTGTGTAGAGAACAGACGTCAAAGTCAGAGGCATCAAAGCTTTAGATGTGACGATGATGATAATAATTTTCTCAAAATTCACCAGGGCCTATAGGATTTAATTTAACGAACTCAGCAACTTCAGGGACAAATTTCCCAGAACTGTGATGCAGAACATGGTTCTATACCTCCTGGGTGAGTATAGGAAACATGAGCCCAAACCGCTGTTTAATTGATGATGGGTCTCAAGTCTTCCATGAGTTATTTGTGCAAACCCACCTCTGTTCTGGGCCTTGCCGTGTCCAGCCCGACTGCTGACAGCTGATCAAAGTGCTCTCTGACAGGAGAAAGTGGGTATCCTTGTGCTGTTGACTTCAAAAGGTCAAGGCTGCCCTCTTCCACCGTGGGGTCTGTGAAAGATTCATCATTCCTAAGAGTCCGCAGATGGACCTTGGTGCGTAAAGGGCCATTTTTAGCTGAGACTGGGGTTCTATTCTTTGTTTGCTGACTTTTTTTTCCTTTTCTCCCTCTCTTCTTCAGCAACAGAAACTTTCCATTCTGCCACACACATTTATAGTACAAAAATGATTTTTGCAATTGATTATTCAGGAAAAAAGTGGGTTTTTCTTATTGCATTAACTGGGGTGGCCACAGCTGCATGTGTCACGCCTCGGGGCATCTGCACTGTGCTCGCAAAGGCTCCTGTGGCTTTGCTCACAGCCTTAGCGGATGTTAATGGAAAGTCTGCCTATGTTTTAAGTGGAGACTAAGTGCTTCCTCTGAATAGATAATCACAGGGTAGATCGGAAAGAAGAATTATGCCCACAATAAAACACTAATAAGCCTCCGGAACTATTTGCCATTACTCTTTCAAGCTGAAAGTGCCTTGTTTGCATCCAATACCTGGGGACAGGGGCCCAGATTTTCAGCCTGAATTATAAATAATAAAGAACTACAGAGTTCTATAAACATATTTACAAAAGTCAGCCTCAACTGAAGCATAAATCCAAACATAAGCAGGACACTAAAATAAATAGGTGAACTGGCTCCAGGCTGAGGTCTCTTTCTTTCTTTCTTTTTTAAATTTTGAGGGGCTCTCACTAAGTGACCAAGGCTGGTCTGCAACTTGCAATCCTCCTGCCTCAGCCTCCTGCAGCTGGGATGACAGGTATGCACCCCTGTGCCCAGCTGAACTGCAGTTTCTTTATTGAAACGTTTAACTTGTACTGAAATAGTACATTTGGCGAATGCTAAAAGATCGGCCTTGGAATGAAGGTCTTGGCTCCTGGGACCCTCATGGCTGAAACTAACCTTGAAACAGTGGTCCATGCTGATGGGCGTTGTGGAGTCCCGGTGGAGTCCGGTGTGGGAGGGCTTTCTTTGGACCATCTAGACAGAGGTGGGTGTGAAGAGATCCGTCCCCTGACTTCTCGGGGCTCAGCCTTTGCAGTTTTCTGGTTATGAGCTCCCTGCAATATCAGCGTGCCCTTCTGGAATCCTCTGAGCTGCTCCCTCCTGGCTCCAGCTGGCTCTCCTTCAGAAGAAAGCACGCTCTTCCCTATGACATTGTGCCAAGGCCCAGATGCAGTTCTAGCCTGAGCCAACCCTGGTCCCTACTTTCCTGCCCGACAAGGACACAGGGTTGGTTTTCCACTGGCTGTGAGTACCTTGGCTCTGGGGAGCAGAGAGGAGAGCCCCGTTCCCTTGAGAAGCCAGACACTTGACAGATTTTCCTAAAATGCACGGCATGGCATTCTCTCCACGGTGTTTTGGTTTTTGAGTTGTTCTTAAATAAGTACATGCTATTTTTCAATGCCATGTGATGAGTTTCTTGACCAACCATAGATAAATCAACACATATCAAACGTTAAGCTCTAATTTCCAGTACAATGAATGTCAGTAGACACCACCCACAGAGACAAGATTTTTTGGGGTCCTCAGGAGCTGTTTAAGGAGGTAAAGGGATCCTGAGGCCAAAAACTGGTGCATTCACAAAGACATATTGTTTAAATGGAAAAGCAGCCCTAGAGGGACCCAGGGCCGCTCAGGCTTCCCCTTACAGAAATGCATCCAAACTGAGGCTTCTGTCCAGCTCTGTCTCTGAGGCTGGGTCTGTGCTGCCCCAGGTCCAGTCTGAGTTCTCTGCGGGCCTTGCCCTGTGGTCTGAGCGGCTCCAGGTGATGACTCTAGTACTTTGGTCATTTGGCACATGTGGCATGTCTTTGCCCTGACATGTAAGGATCATGCCTTTCCCACGACTCCCACATCCACAGGAGTCTGGTAATTGACTTTGAATTCTTAGAATTCCAGGATGATGTCCTCTTCACTAAGGGTCATCTTCCGGGTCTGCCCCAGCTCTACGTCAGAGCTCGCGGCCTCGTCTGGACATGCCATGGCAGCAGCTGCCTCCTCCGGAGCTACCTCTGGCCTCTGACTAGCACCATTATAAAATTCATATTAATTTATCCCTAGCTAGGAAGCTAATATGGAGCTGGAATGTGGATAATGAGTTGCCTGCCATTAAATAAACTAATTCATGTCATTATCAGACTTGGTTGAAAATAACTCTTAATTTCATGACAGTGTGGCTTCCTATAGATTTAGAAGGAAAGAACAAAATGGCAATGCCCAGAAAAAACTAGGAAGGGGGAGGCCCAAGATCTAGCCCTGGGGTACCTGTCCCCACTGTGCCCAGACACCTGATGACCATGCATCTGCATCCACCACCACTTGCTGCCACATTCCCATGCCACCACCTGAGGGAGAGGGGTGGATACTGGTGGAGAGAAGTTTTGAAAAGACACGAAGTTCAAGAAGTGAGAGGTGAGCCCGCCACAGAAGCAGAAGAGAAAGGAAGGGGGCTGAAGGGAGGTGCTCACTAAGGGCCAAGGCTGGCCTGGAATTGGGATCCTCCTGCCTCAGCCTCCCGGCAGCTGGGATGAGGGTGTGCCCAGCTAAGTGGCAGTTTCTTATTGAAACATGGATGCTGGAGGAGCTCAGGAAGGGGTGATACCTGTGCAAGGAGAGGGCATGCTCACCCCTCCCTCTCCTCCTGGGCAGAAGGGTGAGTGAGGAGCAGCCCGGGAAGTGGAAGGGGGGAATCTCTGGGTATCTCAGTTTCGACAAGTGAGACCATGCCCAGCCGCAGGTTCCCCGGATAGATGCCTTTTATCTGTGGACATCTGAGCTATTTCGGTGTGGGGACCTATTATGCTCCTTGCCATCTGCTCAGCCCTTTGCAAAGCGCGTAGCAGATATTCAAGAAATGTCTGCGGAGAGAGAAGCAAGCCCTCGTGCGCAGAATCACCCCCTCCCAAAGGTGTCCCTGCTCACCCGGGGCATGCGTGTGAGCTACCTTCCCAGCAGAGGGCTCTGCAGATGGGATGACGCTGGCCACCATGAGGTGCGAGACCGTCCTGCGTCACCCAGGAGGGACCAGTGCCAAGGGCAGGCCTGGGTAGCGGGTAGAGGGAGGCAGGGGAGAGGTCCGAGGGGACATGGGGTGGGAGAGGGAGGGTGATGTGAGAAGGACTTGGTTTGCTGCTGTCGCCTTTGAGGTGTAGGAAGGGCCCTTGGGCCAGTGAGTGAAGATTAAAGGACAGGGAACAATTCTCCTGGAACCCCATCCCCAAAAGAAGAATGCTTCCCAGCCAGTACCGCGACCTCAGCCCAGGAGACCAGTCAGACTTCGGATTCATGACCTGCAAAGGAATAGACCGAATTGTCTGAAGCCACTGCACCGGTGGCCGGTGGCAACAGCAGCACAGGAAACAGATATGGTGTAGAATGAATATTTGTTGAAATTCAACGAGAAGAACCTGCAAAGGATAGGTTACATACACATAGGGAGAATCTTAATACCAGAGGCCAAGTTATTAAGTTCTTGAGTCTCATGTTTCAGAGGATCAGAGGTAGGACGTGGTTTAAGGTTCAGAGAGGAGACTCTTTCCCAGTGATGAGGTGCCGCGGCTGCGCAGAAGGACCGTCCTGCCTTGGGCCCTGGAAAGGCAGCGGAGAGAACGCAGTGCCAGGCGGGAGGTAAGCGTTCCTGCCCCCCACCCGCCCCCCACCCCTGTGCTCTCATATCTTTTTTGAACTGGTATTTTTGCAGTACATTAAAATATGATTCCAAGTCTGTTCCGTGGCTTTCTTTTTAAATATATTCCTTGGAATCCTCACCCCCACTCCACTTCTTGGTAAACCAATAGAGGTGACCTTTATTTCCAAGATTTCTTGATCAGAAATAATGACTTTCTTTATAAAAATATTTTGCGAAATAGAAGGCATAATGGTCCTTCCAATTTATGTGTCTGACAAGGATTCGAAAGGGACATTCTATATTTTTATTTCCAAAGTAATTTTTATGACTCTAACTTAGTACATGATGGTTGTAACTCAACCATAATGGTTGGTTTAACATCTAAGTCTACATTTTTATAAATCTTTCTTTAAATGCTCAAGGAGAGTATATTACTAAAAACCAGTTTTTTTTTTCCTAATAGCCATATAGATCAACTGCCCTATAACTAGATTTGGAAAAATGTTAAAATTCTTTTTCTTCTGAAAATAAAAAGATATTTTCTTTTATTATCCTTTGGTTTCTAAAAATAGGCTGGAATTAAATGTCATGTACCTTTGGAATTCGTTTTATAAACATGCTTGGTAACTAGGAGACGCACATTGTCATTATTTATAATCTAGAAATTCTTTCCATGGTAACTGTTAGAAGGTCACAATTACCGAGCGCACTGGGGGCCAGGAGGCGACTTAAGAATTCACCAAAGGGGCACTGTTCATAGGAGGGAGTCACATCTGGCGTCCCCGTCACTCCTGTGGATGAGGTGAGGTCTGGGATTTGGGCACAGGGCAGCTGGTCTTTGCTCCACTGCTTTTCTGGAAGCCACGATTGCACCAGCATTCCAGCTTCGGTTCCCAGGCCTTGGCAACCGCGCACCAGGAGCTTGGGGACATCACAGTGTTTCTGCTCCTGACATCATGTGAAGGTTGATCACACTGGCTCCAAATAAGGTATCCAAAGCCCAAGACTCAGCCGAGAGGTGGGAGGCAGCCTCTGACTGAGACTTGGTCTCACGTAAGTTCACGTGGCACTGTCCCCAGATCCCAGAGCGGCCGAGACTGAGCCTGGGAAGAAACCTGGAGTCCCTGGGAGTCGGTTCTTACTCAGATCCCGCAGCAGGAGGAGTCAGCTCTGAAGAAGTCACACAGACACAAAGCCCTTTGAGGTGCCATTTGTTCACAATGAAGAGCAGGACTTTCTAGTGTAAAGCTACACGTGGTGTCACACTCCCCGGGCCAGCTCCTCCCTGCACTGCCAAGACTTCGAGAGGAAGTTGGCTTAGGACTGTGTGGTGACCAGAGGGACAGCGAAGACTGAGGACCATGGGTCTGCATCAGATTTATTAGAAAGGACCTGACCCAAATGCTAAAGACATTTTATAATAGTGAGCAGAAACACTGGTGGATGGAGTACACACACTCACACACACACACACACACACGCACACACGCCATGATTCAAGAATATTGAGAATAAAATTTGTCAAAATAAAACTGTAACAAACAGCAAAACCCACACAACTTCGGAAACGGCTCCTTGGGGTGGACCACATTGATGAGGTTCTTGCTCAGATTCACTCACCACAATTCAGTGACCTCCTCAGGAGCTACCAGCCGAGCAAGGCCCACCAGAGTGTGTTGTTAAAGGACGTGAACCAGCAGCTGGAACCTATGGCGGTAGGAAGAGAGGGAGCAGCGCCACCTCACCCCAACCAGACACCATCCTGCAGCCAGCTGCAGCTGGATCTCACTGCCCAGCTGCCCTTGCCCAGGCTCCTGCTCTCCGAGCCCAGCCTATTCAGCACACTGGACTCTACCGCCTGCCGGGCCGGCCCAGCCTGCAGAGGATGTGTCCACAGTGGTCTCACCTGCTGCTGCTGTGTGTGGGCTGGTGAATCTCCTTGGAGATTCTCCTGTGGCAATATCTATACAATATCTAACAAAATAAAATTCACATTTATTTTTTTTTACTTTTGGAAAATTTCTTTAAAAGCATATTATCATCTGCAGAAGGGATTTTTCTATGTGAGATTATTTGAAATACTAAGAGAAAATAGGCACAACATAAATGTCCATCAATAGGGAGCTGATTAAAGTACAGCACATCTAGAAAAATTAAGCATTTAGACTATTTTAAAAATGGGTTAGATATGTTTGTGCTAACACGAAAATTTATTCATTGTAGCTTATTAGTAAAAACTGCACAATGCAAAGAATTTATTTCCATTTGTCTTAGAAAATACAAGAAAGGGAGAAACATATGTATGAGGTGTTTATACAGTGGAAATTTACATAAGAAAGCTGTTAATATTATTTTCTTCTAAAGGTGATGAATATTGATCTAGGAGAAATATTTCTATTTTCTGCTTTAGTCCCTGGGAAAAACACTATACCATGCACATGTATGTCTTTTTTAAAAATTCTAATTTGTTATATATGACAGCGGAATGTATTACAATTCATATTACATATGTAGAGTACAGTTTTTCGTATCTCTGTACACAAAATATATTCACACCATTCGTGTCTTCATACATGTACTTAGGGTAATGATGCCCATCTCATTCCACTGTCTTTTCTAACCCCATGCCCCCTCCCTTCCATCCCACCTCTCTGCCCTATCTAGAGTTCATCTATTCCTCCCATGCTCCGCCTCCCTACCCCACTATGAATCAGCCTCCTTAAATCGGAGAAAACATTCGGCATTTGGTATTTTGAAATTGGTTAACTTCACTTAGCATTATATTCTCCAACTCCATCCATTTAGCTGTAAATGCCATGATTTTATTCTGTTTTATTGCTGAGTAATATTCCATTGTGTATATATGCCATAGTTTCTTTATCCATTCATCTGCTGAAGGGCATCTAGGTTGGTTCCACAGTTTAGCTATTGTGAATGTATGCCTTTTAATATTGTAAATGAATTACTTAAATTGCCTACTTACAGTTGAAGTGTGCCAGGGCAGAGTAAAAGCAACATAGTGTAATTAGAAGACAAATTTTAAAAGCTGTGCATATCAACTTACTGTTATAATTTTTAATAAGCACAGATTGAGAATCACTTTTCTGAAATGCTTGAGACCAGAAGTATTTTCAGATATTCAAATATTTACATGTTCATAACCAGTATGTTGTGGGTGCCATCATGTCTAAATAAGAAACTCATTTATGTTGTTTCATATATATGTCCCACACATGCCTGGATTGAATTTTATTCAATATTCTTAGCAAGCCTGTGTCATGACCCACCAGTCATGTGAGATCAGGTATGGAATGCTCCACTTGTGGCAACATGTTGGTGCTTAGAAAGTTTAGAATTTGGAGCAGTCAGATTTCGGAATTTGGGATTAGAGAAAATTGGGGTATCTGTAGATGGCTATACATAGGTCCACAAGATTTGTTTTGGTGACTTCAGCCATGGTATATAGCAGCTACTCAGGTGGCCCCTTTGTGTGACTATAAAACTGCACAGGATACATCAGGTCCCTGGAGGTAGAGGGCTGTGTTCCCAGAGAGAAGGAGAGCTGAGTTGGCCCCACATAGCCCCAGCTTTCTGCCCAGTGGTCTTTGTGGACCCAGGGTAGGGAAGTGGAGTCCCACTGGGGGGTTGGAGTCTGCTGAAATGGCAGGACTGGGGCAGGGCACAGGGAGGAGGAGGCTGGACTGTGACATCTGGAAAAACGCAGTCCTCTCCCACCTTTGGCCCAACACTACCTGAGTATGCAGGGAGGGACTTCTGGCACCTGGGAAAGACCGGCTCTGGGGGGCCGTGAGCTGCCGGAGCCTCAAGCATCCCAGCTTGATGCTGTGCTGGGGGTCCCCGCTGGCCACGGAAAAGCCTCTCCTAGCACACGTGGGGCACTGAGTCACAGCCTTGGTCAGAACACGTCCAAGCAGAAGGGCCACTCCAGGGCCCCTTGGGGCAGATTTCAAGACAAATCCTGAGAGGATCAAGATGCCAGGTCATATCAAAAAGTAGGAGACTGGCGATGCGCCACACGGCTCTCTGCAGGCTGGGCTACTCTGCAGGTGTGGGAGAGAGGGGTCTGGAGAGACATGGCCCGAATGCTGAAGATGTCTACAGGTGTGTATCTAAGTGATCACGTATATGAGTTTTCCAGAATCACCACTTTTCTGCTTCATAAATGAAATGCCACCTCCCAACCACTAAAATAGCTAGAACCAAAAGGACCGTCAGCAGTGAGCGAGCCTGAGGACGTGGGCTGGCTGAACCACGTGCATCGCTGGCATGAGCACGGGCTGGTGCAGCCCTGTGGAGAACGGCTTGGTAATTACTTAAAAAATGGAACACACGCCCTCTCTGTGACCTTAGCATTCTACCAAAAGAAAGGAAGCCTATAGCTGCACCAAGACTCGTCTAGAATGTTCTCAGTCACCTCACCTAGGACCGCCTGGGTCTGGGACCAACACACTAGCCAACCAGGAGAGCAGACAGCATAGTGTGGGGTGTGCGTGTGACAGCATACAGTCTCTCATTACATAAAAATAAAACTAGCTGGACCCCAGGATGACTCTCCTAGCAACACAACAGTGTGCAGGGCAAAAGACGCCACATGTACGACGTGCTCACACATATTTAAAGTTACAGAGCAGGCAGAGCTGACCCATGGTGAAAAGAATCCATGCATTGGCCACTTTGGGGGAAGGTCAGCTCCTAAAGGGCTTGACGCCCTGGAGGTGATCTGCAACTCCACGGAGGGCTCCTGGGCTCTGCTTTGGTGGCGCTTATCCAACTGCAACACTGAGAATCTGAGTGTTTCCCAGTATAGAAAACACATCTATGTGGAGACCAGAAAGGGAGCACCCCATGTGTTCAGATTGGCTGAATAAATTATGGTGCAGCTACGGAATACCCTGTCCCCGTTACAGACAAATTGATGAATCTGTAGGAGTCGTTATAGGAACCCCTTTGCCATGTGTTAAGGGAAAGTTCCAAGATATAGATAATATCTAAAATATTATCCCATTTATGGGAATACACATATACCTGTCTGCATGCCCAAAGGGAATTTCTGGAGAACTGCGTCAGACATGGCCTCCAGGAGGGACAGCCTGGGTTTAGGAGGGCTAAGGGCAGAGCAGGGAGCTGCCGGGAGACTCGTTATCCTTTTTGAACTCATTGGCACTGTTTGCCTCATGAACATATTTAATTTGAAACTATTCAACCAAAAACAGCCCAGCAAGGTCTGAAGCTGCAGCATGCAGGACAGGGGGGCAGGACAGGGGGGCAGGACAGGGGGCAGGACAGGGGGCCTCTGCACAGCTTGGCTGCACCCAGATGAAAGGGGTGGAAGGAAACGGCTGCAGTGTCTGCGGGGCTTGAGTGTGGACGAGCCTGGCCCCGACTGTGGACACTGCCTGGCGAAGCATCCCCTGAAGACCACAGAGAGGAAGGGGCGTGTCTTCAGAAGCCCTGGGCAGAAACAAAGGTGATCAACAGGAACAAGCTAGTGCCTAAGACAGCAAACAAATAACAGGTCAAAAACTCAATCAGGACACATCTCACAAATAAACCCCAAACTCAAATTTATGGAGTTAACTTAAAATAGGTAAAACTACTTGGGAAATTAAAGAAGTGTTTTTCTCCTGTTCAGATGCGCCCAGCTGCTTTATTTAATCAATTCATCTAATGAAACTGAAGAACTGGAGGGATGCCAAGGTGATAGATCACCTGGTGGGCAGCAGGGAGGGAGACCCATCCATTGTGCCCTTGGACACCAGGCCAGCTCCCTCCGACTCAGTCCAGTGGGCCCTCCTTCCCAAGGCCACCTCTCGGTGCCAGGACAGGTAAGTGAGACAGGGAGAGTGTGTTGAAGGGCAGCCAAAACTAAAGGGGGCAGCCTTCCCTGTGGTCTCCTCTGGACTTCACTGGGGACGTGTCTAGTGGTCTCTCCATGTGCACTGACAGGCCCATGTCCCCATGTGTGATCTGCACCCTACACACTCTACGTAGCTCCTGAGTACCTGCCATACCGCTCCTCAACACTGTAACTGATATTATTGCTTTGCATTTTGCAGACTCTGATTTGGGAATTAATTTGGCTACTAGTTTTTTATCTCTAATTAGCATAGTAATAAGAGAAAAACCCTCTGAACATACTACCTAACATAGAAAAGCTTTGCAATAAGACTGGAGAAGATGGCACAGAATGACAGGGAGATGCCAAGCTGCAGAGGACGGAGGATGTCAAGGGATCTAGTGCAACATTCTGGACAGGGATTCTAAGGTGTTAAAATTCTCAGCAAGGGAGCCTTGGGAAACATTGGTTTTGTCTTCCAGGTGGAAAATTGAGACTTTGAATGATTAAGAGATGTTTTAAGGTCATCTGACCAGAAGGCATCTTATTCAATTCAAAGGTGAGTCTCCAGGTTGCTAAGTTTGTGCTAGATCTGGTAAGACAGGTTAGTTAATGCTAAACAACTACTTACTAGTTCAGGGGAGCCTATTCCCCTAAAAATACTAACCAGCAAGGTCTTGGTAACTTTAGTAAATCATCCCAATAATTCAGAAGAGCTTGTGGCTCAAAGACCGCCTTGATGCGATTGGTGGGTCTGGGTAATGGGTGTCGATTTTGACAATGGTCAGAGCCAGGCGGCCTCAGGCCAGCCACATTCTGACTGTGGTTGATGAATAAACAAAGAAAGTGTCCACTGTGAGGAAAACTCGAATGTTGTTTTAGCCTCCTCAGGCAGCTACTGCTGCGTTCACCAGCAGAAGTCAGCCAACTATGGCCACCAGGACACCAGAGGAAGGAGCAGCTCCCTGGGCCTCCCCAGAGAGGTGGCAGAGGCCAGACCTGGTGCAGAAAACAGCCTTCCTGTAGCTGTGGGTCCACTGCACGGCGGGGAGGGCCACAGGCCGCAGGAGCCCCAGCGCCCACGCCCAGTGCGCCTGCTTCTGCACAACTCACCTGTTTTGGCCTAGAAAAGCAAAGCTCAGAAAACCTCC